CAATGATGAGCAGATATCCAACAACAACTGGGTTATAGCAGTCATGCAGGATACATGAGACCCAGAGGCTCAAGGTCTACTCTGAGAAGACATGAACAAAACTCACCCGTAAGCATGCCCTAAAACCAAAACTTCCAGATCTTTCTGGTGGGCCTGCCTGAATCACTCTCGATGAAGATAATCCACGGTCATGAGAGGTGAATATTTATTACAGAGAATCTCAAAGCAATCTCATCCCCTTCCTGCACCTGATCTCAGAGCCACTGTCATTCTTTTTTTTTTTTTTTTTTCATCTGACTGAATGGATATTTAATGAAATGCTTCAGTGGGACAGACAGAGCACACAACTTGCTCAAAAATAGCAAACAGTCTGGTGGCTTCCAGCACTCTCCTGAGAAATAGTGGTTCAAGTCCCTTCAGCAAGATGAGAGGCTTCAACCTTGGTCTTTCATACCCTAAGGAAGCAACGTGAAATATTAATGCATTTTATTAACTGACAAGGCATCATTGTGAGAAACAGCCAACCTCATTAAAACACTTAACCTTGAAGGAGTATTAGGCTGTACAGGAGTGAAAGGAAGCAGTGCTTTCCAGCAGCTGTCAGGACGCTAGCTCTCTTCTGTTCCCTGCCACCTTGCTCTGGCATGCTGGCTTTGATGAATCTCATTCAAGTGGCATTCACAGCTTTGTGGTGCCTTATTCAGGGATGAGACTTCCACTGGAAGGCAAAGAGGTGACGAAGCAGATGTTACAACTCAGCATCTAAGCTTCGTTAGTGAAATGAGCTGAGGAGCTCTCAGGTCCCACACCTCCCTCAATTAAGGTATGATTGACTTCTACAGAACTCAGTGGAAGAACTCCCATGGACTTCACTGGGATGTGCTTCATAACCTCAGTGCCCCTAATTACACCATAGCAATTAAGCACTCTAGTTTGCAAAGGCTGTGATGCAGCAGAATGCTTACATGCCAAACAGAGCATATTTTATCTTAGTTCTCATAAAACTCAACTGAAAAAAAAAAAAGAAACTGAAACAATTAAATAATTCAAGTGTGTCATAGCCATCAGCTGGGTGAATACCTGTAAACACAACTTGTTTACAGACTGTGACACTGAACCTTGTCACGCACAGAATGACTGGTCGCTAAGAAGAAAACATAAATACACACAAAAAGAATATCTCCTCATAGTGGATTTTTTTAAATAATAATAACAATGGCAACACAGCATTTCACATCCAAGTAAGGATGAGGTATGGTTTCAAGTTAGCATCATATTTTTAAGTCCTCAGTGTAGGATGCATATAAGATTAAATATAATGGAGCAACAAAACAAATTAGATGCCTCATTCTCAAAACTACAGGCCTGATGTTTACAGCAATCACTGCAAAGGTCCCTGGATTAGAAAGAGTGGTGAGGCATTGGCACAGGCTGCCCACAGAGGTGGTGGACTCCCTGGAGGTGTTATAATAAATAATGAGTAGATGTAGGACTGAGCAACGTGGTTTAGTGGGCATGGTAGTGATGGGTTGATGGTTGGACTGGATGATCTTAGTGGCCTTTTCCAACCATAACAATTCCCTGATTCTTATGATTCCGTATCAGTTATATAGCCACAGGGACTGCTACAAATGCATCTTCTAATTCCATGACCCACAGTCAGTAAGCCAAGAGGTAGAGCCATCTCTGTAGACTGTATACATCATTGGACTATATCAATGCAACTGAATTTCCAGAAAGCCTGGCATCATGACAGGTTTTTGTCCCTAGACAGAAAAATACTATTTGGAGTGCATGTTATGGGCAATCAAAATTTTAAACATTTAAAATATCCTACGAGTCATGTTGCAACCCACTAGGATGGTATTTTTACGACATGAAGCCAAAGATATGTGTTGCTGCACTCAGCAATAGCTTAAGAACATATGGATGTGCAAATTCAGCTGGGAAAATGTTGGAGGGCTGTGCTGAGCAGAGGGAGCCAGACCTCATGCAGGTCCACCCGTTTCGTTGCAGTCTTTGCAGTCTTTGCAGGGATTCAGATGATATGTCTGCCTGGAGTGAACCAGCCCTAAAACCACACCTGGGTTTTGTCTGCAACGGGACTGACTTCATTCCAAAAAGAGAATCTAGAATGTACAAATACTTATGCAGTCTGGATGAGCAACTGGGACCAGGCAATGACCCTGGTGAGTTACCTTATGACTTGTGTTGGAAGGGACCTCAAAGCTCACTCCACTCCAATCCCCTGTCACAGGTGTGGCTGACCCCCACCACGCTGCCCAGGGCCCCATCCAGCCTGGGCTTGAATGCCTCCAGGGATGGGGCCTCCACAGCTTCTCTCAGCAGCCTGTGCCAATGCCTCACCGCTCTCTGAGTAAAGAATTTCTTCCTAACATCTAACCTGAATGTTCCCTCCTTTAGTTTAAATACATTCCACTTCGTCCTATCACTGTCAGACCACATGTAAAGTAATTCTCCATCTTTTTATAAGCTCTAATAAGTACTGAAAGCATGGACACTCCTGTTGGCTTTTGCAGATACACAGCACAGCTCTATTTGGTTCACAGCACTCAGTTCCTTCTGTGACATGTGCCCAGAGCTGAATACCTCACAACTGGTTTCCAAATAGCAGCTCGCTGAGCAAGCACTCTTGTAACTGAAGAACATCCAAAGCAAGGTCAGAGGTGTGTCTTCAACTCTGCCCTACTGCAGCTTGGGCTTCCAGCTCAGTGCTGTGCAGCTTGTCTTCCCTTCACTCAAGATCCACAGGCTGGATTATCTTTAGCAGATAAGCACCAAAGACCTTTTTGCAAAAGCTATGCAAGAGGTCAGCGCTCCCTTTAAAAACACATTCACCATGACAGCATGTCACTGCCACCACCCCTAGCCCTGGTGCCCATGCAGGTTGGCTGCTTCAAGGCTTAGAAGTTAAGCACACAGCAGTGTTAAGCATCTGTAATTTTAGGCACAAGCCCAGGTGATATATAGGCACTAAAAGTCCTTTGTGGATTTTCTATCCAATGCCTTATCTACAGGCACAGTATGCAATTACGTATGGGTTCTGCGACATAAAAACACTTGCCTAAGGTTTCGAATCGTGGAAAGCAGATTGATCAGAGAATGTGGATTTTGAGGAACAGCCATTGAAAGGAAACTAAAAGAGATCAAAGAGATCAAAGCAGCTGACAAGGTGCAGAAAATTAAGCACTGGGGTGAGTTGAAGCAGACGGAAATAAAAAGACAGACAGCAGCAAATACATGCAGATGTGCAGGCACGTGCAAGTGCTCCTCCAGACAATGTTGAGCCCCTACATGGACATAGCCTCCTTCACACTGCTGCAGATTGAAAAGGACACCCGGCCTTCATCAGAAGGCTGCCCAAACGTTGTAGTCACAAAATAAAACTGGTCCAAAGATGGTAATGTAGGATGCTGAGACACAGCTTCCAACACAAATGCAAGAAAATGAAAAAGTCACTTTTATGTTCAGTCCAGCTCCTCCTTCCAGCAGAACCTCATCTTTACACGTGCCCATCCTTCCAGAGTGAAGCAATTTTACAAAGCCATATGGAGCAGGACCTCCTTTTGTCTGGCAGCATCTGTATCTACACCAGTAAGCAGTGCAGCGCAGGGAGGGAGAAACTGTAGTGCTGAAAAATGACATCCACATTCACCACATTGTAGAGGTTTCCTCAACTAGTCCTGGGGCTGGAGCACATCTGCTATAGCTGAGGTTGTCTGAAACCTCTTTGAGATGAAAAATGAATCGAGCCACCAGGGGACCCAAAACACGAGGTCTCCATTCAGCTGCCCATCACTTGCTGCAGTACTGGGGCTGTACCAGGGAGCACTGCAAACATCTCCCCCTCCCCATCTCCTCTCCCCACACCAAAACATATGGCTGTATCTGAAGCCACAGCAGCACATCACCAGATGGAAATGGCATTCTCTGAGCCTACAGGCAGCTCCCAGCACCCTGTAAAGCTACGCCTGTTCCTGCACTCACCATCGTTCAGTGAATCCTCCGAGCAGCGGCGTGCAGTTGGGTTTATAAATTACAAGGCAACAGACAATGAGACAAAATTAAAGACATTACTCCTAGCTCCATAAATTATCTCTGTAGTCTATTTTAACAGCATGGATTTACCAGTGCGTGTGGAAATGGGAAGAATACCCATCTACCAGCCTAACTGGGTATTAACGAAAAAGCAGAATATTGTGTTGTGCTCTCCGAAACACAGAAAGAGAAATACTCCCACCAGTCTCAATAATGCCGTTCCAGGGGGAAAGAATCATCATCTTCGATATTGAAAAAGAGAGCAATCTCTTGGAGTCGGAAAGAAAAGAGATTTATTAATAAAACTAATTACACGCTCCACTCATGGAGGAATGCAAGGCACCAAGTCAGCCCAGGAGAGCCGGGTTCTGTTATTTCGCTGCGTTACAACTTCCCCGCTACTGCCGGCAGCTCCCGGCGGGGCTGCAGGCGGGGATCCCCATAGGGGTGCAGCGGGATCACCCCACGGCCCCGCACGGGGCTTTCCGTCGCCTTCCGGCGCCGTCCCGAGCAAACTCCGGCTCCAGGTTATCCCAACCCTTCTCCGAACCGGCGGGCTGTGCCGCTTCATGGCATCGCTCCCTTAAAGGGGCCGCGTGCGAGCACGCGTGTGAGTTGGTGCGTGAGCGCGTTGCACACGCAGCCGTAAGCGCAAACAGCCCGTCCGACCTCCGCCCGCGGATCTGCCTCGGCGGGGAGCAGAGCGCTTAGCATGTAGGGCAAGGAGAAAGAAAAAGGTGCGGGGAGGAGGAAAAGGGGAAGGAGGGAGTAAAGACGGAAGGGAGGAAAAAAAGAGAGAGAAAAAAAAAAGCGCTGCCTCTTTAAATGCTGGGGGCTGAGCTCTCGCCGGGGCGTCCGCAGCCGGATCCAGCCTCTCTCCTCTCGGCCGTGCCTCCCCGCGCCTCCTGCACAGCCCCGAGTGCCGGCAGCGCGGCTGCGGGCGCTGCTGCTGTGGGGAGCGCGGAGCGGGGCTGGGGGGGCCATGATCGCACCCGCCCCCGGGAGCCGCGCCGCCTCCAACCGGGAGCCCTAAAGCCTCTCGGCGCCGCGCTGCCGTTCTCCGTGGTAAGTTTGCAGCCGCCCGGTGTCGGCGGAGCGGCGAGTTGGGCTGGGGAGGTTCACCTCCGCGGGGGGTGGAACTCCGCCGTCTCCGGCTCGGACCTCCGGTCTCCCTTTCAGCCGCGCCCTCGGTCCCTAACAGGTGGCTTGGTGCTCTTAGGGCGCCTTTTTCCTCCTCCTCGCTGCCGGATAACAGGTGGCCGCGCTGCGTCGCCTGCCCCTGGGCGCTGGCGGTGGTCCGGGGCCATCGCCTTCATCCCTCCTCGGGTACTCCCAGGGCTGTTGTTTCACGTGTTGCAGCGTGAAGTGGGGGTTGAAGACTGTGCTCTAAATTCTGCTCTCCGCTGTCTCTCTGGCCTCTTGATGGCCCTGCTGTGTCTGTGTTACAGCAGGCATGGGGAACCAGGTGGAGAAGCTGACCCATCTGAACTACAAGGAAGTCCCCACGGCTGACCCGACGGGCATGGACAGAGATGAAGGGCCCAGGATCGGGGTCTCCTACATCTTTTCCAATGATGACGATGAGCTGGAGCAGCAGCAGGACTCGGGACACGACCTCGGGGGTGAGCACCCTGCCCTGCAGCCCTATGATCCCCAGCTGCACGAGGTGGAGTGCTCTGTTTATTACCGGGATGAGTGCATCTACCAGAAGAGCTTTTCTGAGGAGGACGTGCTGCCGGAGGAGGGCGAGGAAGGAGGCAGGGGGCACCTGAGCACCTACACCCCAGAGAACCTGCTGAACCGCTGCAAACCAGGCGACCTGGTGGAGTTTGTGTGCCAGGCCCAGTACCCGCACTGGGTGGTCTACGTGGGGGATTTTCAGGTTGTGCACCTGCACAGGCTGGAGGTGGTGAACAGCTTCCTCACCGATGCCAGCCAGGGCAGGAGGGGCCGCATTGCCAACCAGCTGTACCGCTACAAACCCCTCAGCCCGGCCGTGGTGGTACGCAATGCCCTGGAGCAGGTGGGCTGCAAGGACCGGGACCTGAGCTGGAGAAACTCGGAGTGTTTTGCTGCCTGGTGCCGCTATGGCAAGCGGGAGTTTAAAATCGGCGGGGAGCTGCGCATCGGCAAGCAGCCCTACCGCCTGCAGATCCGGCTGGGTGACAAGCGCAGCCACACGCTGGAGTTTCAGAGCCTGGAGGATCTGATCATGGAGAAGAGGAGAAATGACCAGATTGGTAGGGCTGCTGTGATCCAGGAGCTCTCCAGCCACCTGCAGGCTGCAGAGGAAGAGGATGAGGAGGATGAGGAAGACCATCCCCACCATCCAGGTGCCCGGACTGCTGTGGAGTAGTGCCTTAGCACTGCCATGCTGCTCGGGCTGGGTGATGGGGATTAAAACGGAAGGCTGCGAAATTGAGCTGTTATAAACCCTTTGGGCCGTTTCAGTGCAGCTTCATTCCGATCACATGTGAAAGGAAGGGGGAAAGCTGATTAAGTGTCTGTGCTTTAGTGCTTAACTCCTTCAGTGCTTGATGATAAAAACCACTGACTTATTGTAGAGGATAAAACTCAGGGCAACTCTATCCTTCTCTGCTCCCATCTCTTTCCCTTCCTCTGTGCCAGCCCTTCCCTCCACCATCTGCCAGTAGGCCTGACCCTATGGGATGCTAAATGCCTTTGACATCTACTTATCGGCAGAAGTTAAGAGTACTTAATAGTATTAAGGAGCCAACAACTTCAGGACATGGCCATGTTTGTCTGAGCGTATGATCAGTTGGCAGCTGGGAAGTGTGATATATTGCTGTCCCTTGTCTGCCCATTTCTCTTCAGTTGTGGTTCGGTTGGTCTTGCAACAGGCTGCTTGCTTGCTTACGTAGTGCTAGGCTTCATGGATGGGTGGCCAGTTCCACAGGAGGTGCAAGGGAGAAATCAGTGCTGACTTCAGTGAAATGCTTTTGATATGCCTGGTGCTTTCTTAATAGAAATGTGCAGGTGGGCTGGGGGAGCTCTGTCTTTGCTAGCAGCACGTGGTTCTGTTGGGAAGAGAGCAGCTGTTACTGCTGACCATTCCCAGGGAGGAGGAATCTCACAACCCTGATTGCAGAGTCTGTGCATTGGTGCGTGCCTGGGCTCTTACAGGCACATACTGAGCTCTGCTAGAGCTTGTTACAGACTTCCCCTAAAGCAAGCAGCAGAGATCCAGATGACATCTGTGGTGAGCATAGAAGCAGGCTGTTTGTGTGTACCAGCACATCTCCAGTAAGCTGCCCCTCAAGAAGGTGGTCCCATGGCTAGGAGTGTGGCACAGGTCCTGCACAGCAGCACTCCCTCCTTGTGATGGGAAGGAGTGAAGGAGGAAGGCAGGGGGGTTGGGGTGTTCATTTTATTCCTCCCTTATCACAAAGCAACTTCCTCTTTAGAAAACTTCATGTTTCCCTATTTTGTACTAATTTTATGATGTGCAGCTCAGCTATAGCACTAGAAGAGAGGATATGCCTCGGGAGTTGTAGTGTAGGTCCCCCATTCAGTGGGTTGGGGGGGTGCAGCACTGCCTCCCTTGAATGTTTCCTGAATTCTGCTTTCAGCTGTTGAACTGTTCTCCCACGTGGGCACCATCAGATCATTGTCCTGAGATCTTAAGTGTGTGAGCAAACAGATTTGGACGCCACTTATAATACAAAATTCCTTCCTTTTAAAAGCACAATAGTGAAGAGGCGAACCTGAAGATAAGCTTGAGTTCATTTAAATAACAGCAATTAATGTGCTGTACACTTAGAAGCGTTGTTACTGCTGTCTTCCCTGCGGTTGTTTATGGTTATACCACAAATAGCAAAGTACTCCGTGTCCTTTCTACCCCGTGGGAGCAAAGGTTGTTGACTAAGAAGTTGATACCTATTTTTGATTAGTTAGAACTACATAAAGCAACTTTGACAATATGGTTTAAATAAATCTGAGTTGTTTTCTTCCTAAGATACACAACCTGTGGGGGGAACAAGGCAGTGATAAACTCCTTTAGCCTTGCTTCCAGAGGAAATGTGGCTTTAAGGTTATGCAAATACACCATACAGTGTTTCCTTATTGACTCTGTGTTCTCATTTTGGACTGCAAAATGCTCAAACCCAAAAGAGAATTTAACACTCAGCTCTGTTAGAATGCTATAGCTCAGGTGACTGCACTGATGGTTTTCTTCAATATGCAGTAGAGTCATACTCGTGTCGGTGTGGCTGTCAAGCAAATGTGCAACCTTGCTTTAAAAAGTATGGTAACAACCCATATCTGACTGCAGTAGGGTTTGTGTATGGAGGGATGCATGCAGCTTTCATACAATTAAATGCTGAAAGCTGAAATGATCACGGAGAAAGTCCAGAAGAGAATGGAGACTCTGTGCTGTACTGACTCGTATACAACAACTGAGGTTATCTAGACCACAAGTAAATGTCTGCCTGTTGTTTCTTTCATACTGACCCTTGTACATAACAAAGTTTATTTCTCTGTGTAATATATGTATGTAAAATAATATTTTCTTACAAATATTTTTGAAAGTTTAAAAAAAAAAAAAAAATCCATCAAAACCTTGCATTTGAAAGTAAGTTGTTATGCACATTATTTTCCAGTCCTCTGAATGGGTTTATTTTTCATTAATGATCTAAAATATATTCTGGGTCATAAAGTATAGAAACTGCTATAAATGTCAAATATTATGTATCTACAGGGTACTAAACAGTAAACTAGTTGTGAAAATATTTTTCCCTTGTGTCTGAAACATCAGAACTATGACACACAGCTATTTCTCTCCTGAGATATCCTGCGTGGTCTGGCTTTGTTTTCTGTGGGTTTTTTTTTTTTTCTTTTCTCTCTCTTTTTTTTTTTTTTTTTAATTAAACAAAGGGGGGAAAAAAAGGACCAAATCTGTTTGAGAACAAAGAGCAAAGCTTTGACCAACTGAAATCACGTCTTGTACTGATCTTGGTGCTTCCCTGTACCGGTCATGCCTCTTGGGATCAATTCCTATGCAGGCATAAGGGCCTTAACAAAGAATCCCAGAGCTTGCACAGCCCTCTAGGATAGAGAGCTGAGCAGAGGGCTTTGCTCACAGCAAAGCAGCCTGGCATGCAGTCAGCTGTGTTACAAAACCTGTCTGCCCCTCTGGCACCTGCAGTTCAGGTGTTAAGTGCTTAAAATGTGGATATTGGAATACATTGTTCTGCATGTTATGCTGGGGATTTATTCTGTTTCCTGCAACTCCATTATTTGCAAAAGTGGGTTTCCATTGTTCCCAATTTTTTTTTAGGAGTGGTTTTGTTGATTTTTCTATGTCCTAACAGGGATTTCTTACCCCAACAGCTAATGACTGTTGAATCTTTAACAGGTGGGTGTTTTTTTTTCCCTACCTGTTGATTAGGCAGTGTTATTCAATAGGTGCTATGAACACCACTGCAAACATTTCTAAGCAGGCAGGTTTTTAAAGCCATGGCTCATAATGTGTGGACTAGAATTGCCATAGGAGAACATTGCAGTTGCTTAGCTTCTCATTTTCGTTTTACTGTAATCATTTGCTTTCTGCAGACTACACTGGGATTTCTACAGTTTGTTGTGGTTTATTGTTTTTTTTTTTAATCAAATAATCTCTTGGGAAAAACAGACTTTTTTGTGTGTTGTGTGTGTGTAGTTCAAGATTTTTCTGTTGCTCAAAAAAGGGGAGGAGGGTGGGTGAATAAATGAAAGTGCTGTTCTCTGAGCTCCTTCGTTAAGGTGTAGAAGTGAAGGTGTGATCCTTCTGCAGAGCTTCTGATTTAGCACACGGCCTATGCTGAGTTGAGCCACTTGGAAAAATTCTCAGAACTCATAATGTGCTTGAAGTTAAGTATGTGCATTTCTATCTGAATAAGGCTGGAATCTTGATCCAAGGTCTTTGGTGGGAGTGTGAGGATCTGACATTGCCTGTTTGTGGGGAGGGCACAAGAAGCACTGTGGAAGCTCTTCTTCAAAGTGCCCTTGTCCAAACAAAGCAGATGGCATCCAGCCCAAAGCTTGGCCTCAGTTTCCCCCTGAAAATCCATGAGCAGCACTGACTCAGCGGGTGGTGAGGCAAACACATTACACAGCAGTGACATGCTAAGCTGACAGTCGTGGTGCAGACTGCTTCCTGGTGTCCTGGTCTTGTTGTGCTTGAACTTTCCCTGTATGAATTTACTCATTTAGATGTCTGCACTGTTACTGATGGGAAGACTGCTGTGGACGTCATTTTGCACGTGGTAAGGCTGGCAAGACAAAGCCCCAGAAATGAAAAAGTAGTTCCAGTTAGGAAATCAAGATGAGCAGTCTTACTTCCCTAGAGTATTCATAGAATCATAGAATCACCAAGGTTGGAAAAGACCTAAAAGATCATCCAGTCCAGCTGTTCACCTATTTGGTAGATTTGATAAAATAATGCCACAGAAATGGCTTCATAATGAAGCCTACAATTATTCCTTGATTGAGTAGTTTTAAAAATACAATTCAGACACTTACCATCCATGGTAGTGAACAAAGATATAAACAAGACTATTTCAAGTTTCCCTGATTCTGTGTGAGTATGAAGTATTGATTACAGCTCTCTGTAGCTCAGCTGGACAACACAGTAGTAGAGTTGTAGGATAGATTGGGAGGGGGAAAAAAAACACAAAACAGAAGCTACTTCAAAAACTAGCTTTTGCTCAGAAAAGTATATCCTTCAGACCGAAGGACTGTGGAAGTAAACTTTAATTGTTTTGTATAAATGCAACTCTAGGCATGCTTCTACTATTTCGTTCTTTTAAATTCGGTATTTCACTCCATGTACCAAAAAGGTGTTCTGTGTGGAATATATTTCAGATTTTGACCATAACAGCGGTTTTCTTTTTCTTTCTTTCTCCCTTTGGGTCTCGCCAAAGGGTGTGTGAGGCTTGCTGAGTCATTTGCCACCTGTGCTTTCCTGACAATTAACCATATAACTGTAATTCCAGCAGCCAGTTAGGAACAAATATTTCTTTTGAAAGCAAATCTTACACAACTGATCAGATATGAGTAACTAAAAGTAGGAAATGTGTTGTTTCCAGCAGCAGTTTCTATTTGTGAGAAAGCTACTTTATGTGTTGACTCGGCTACTCTATAAAGTAATGTGTGGTGATAAGGCAAGGTTTATTGTATCATGGACTTAGATTCTCTGGATCAGACTCTTCTTTTTAACTGCGGCTAAGAAAAAATCAGAGCAGCTTCTTCAAACATCAGTGGTTTAGGTGGTTCTTTTGCATTATTGTTGAATTAGAAGCTTTCTTTCAATGCACACCTGAAATTCCTGATATTGTAATACTTCATGGAATCATCTACAATAGCCAGTGTAATCACAAAATATGATTTTAACTCCATGAGCATTTTTTGTAAACTGTCTTTTGTCAATGAATGTTAATTGTTAGTGCAAATATCTCTTCTTTTCCTGAGAAAGAAGTACTGATCATTGATTGTACCATTTCCTTCAAAATGAAGGGCATTGCATAGTAACTAAAAAGAAATAAAAGATTTATAGTATCTTTCATAATCTTTCCTTTCTTTGTTGTTTTGGTATTTTTTTGGGTTTTGTTGATTGTTTTTTTTTTTCCTCTGAACAGAATGTTTTTTTTTTTTCCTAGCTTGTTTGGAAAATTGTAGTGATTTCTTTCATGACGGATACATCAGGCACAAAACTATCAATGTTTTCACTGGCTTCACGTCAGATTGAAATGTAAATCCTCGGTTGTGTTCATGCTCAAAAGAAAAAACAAACAACTTCTATATAAGGCCAGACCATCAACTGATTAATAGGCAGTGGCTGTATTAAATCTGAGGATCTGGCACATAATTTAATTTAAAAAGTGGAAAATGAATTCGGAAAAAGATCATATAGTATTAGTTGGCACCCAGGCCTGTCTTGTGTGCCAGCAACTGCTAAAGGAACAGATATAGTGTTTGTGAGAAGGAGAAAGGAGCAAACATCAGAGCTCACAGGGAGTTTTGGGAAAATCTGTACAACTATTTGGTTTGTGTGATACTCCAGTCGTGGGATGAAAGTGATGTTCTGCCTGATAGTAAGTAGTCACACCATGTACAATGGCATGTAATTTGTCAAAGCTATTCACCATGTACACATTCATGACTACAAAGACAGTGATACAGTGACTGAACCTTACTTCCCTGAGGTCCTGACTAGAAGTTGTTTGAATTTCATGCACAAGCATCAAGACAGCTCAAGCAAGAATACTTCAAGTGAAACCTTCCTGAGGAAATTCAGCTGTAACAAGATGGTCCTTGGCTGAGAGCATTAGTGGAGATTTTGGTCTTCTGAAGGCTGCAGCTGTCCTTGATGGTCTTCTCACAGGTGTGACAGAGGCAAATCCCTGTAACAAAAACAGCAGCTTCTAAGGATCGGGGCCACAGGTGGGATTTCACCATAACATTTAATTTCTAGCTCTAGTGCAGACTTAGGTGGTTTTGAACAAGATGTGTGAGGCACCCAGCTGTGCTCTATGTGACTGCAAATGCCTGAATTTTCAGGTGTCTTATATTAGATCTGAAAGATAACATGAAGAACCAAAAATGTCAGTCAGGTGTCTGACTCAATATTCTGATATTCCTGCTCAGCTGCCACCTAGCATTGGAGACCTTTAGATCTGAAGCTTCATTTGTTAATTTTTATCTTGTTTTCAGAATCTTCAAGTTTTGGGCCTTTTTCTCACCCAGAAGGTTCTCTAATTACATGAAGCAACACAGCTGATGTCTTCTTTCACAGCCTGTGCCCAGGGATGGAGGGATATGGTGTAGAGAAACCTCATGTACCACCCAGAATGTACATGACCTCAGATGCTGAGCAGGAACTTCTTAAAAATGTATTTGCACTGTCCTTTTATTTTGGAACTTCACACCTGAGCCAGAAATAGGCTGATGTAAAATGCATTTAGGTGGACATGAACTGTGATGATTTTTTTGCTCTCAGGACTGGCTGCTCTGAGCAGTGGGATTTCTGTACTGAGGTTCCTTCATTAGTCATCTCTTTGCTGTGCTTCAGATAACTTCCAGCAAGAGCACTCATGAAAGTCCTCACCTCACAAAACTGGTGGAAGTGATGGATGGGAATTTAAATCCTACTCAGGCATAAGAGGAAATGAAATTGCAATCTTTCTCCATCCTGAAACTATGTTCGCATCTCTGTGATACTGTATAAATACCCACCACTATCGCCTCATCAGATTTTCATTATACAGGAAGGTGGTCTCATTTTAATTTGCAAGAGTAGTTACTATACATTTTCTTTCTCAAAGCTTGGCATTGTGGCAGGAGGCAGATTTTGTTAGATGAGATCAAGGTGTTTAAGCACTAGAAGGGAGTGTTGAGGGGGAGCAACAGGTTTGTAGAAAAAGAGAAAATCTGTAATCAAGGGACCTCTGGAGATTGTCCTTCTCCAAGCATGAGCAGCTAGAACAGGTTGCTGACATCCAGTCAGGTTCCATGAATAGAAAACTATGATCCTTGTGGGCAAATTTCTGCCTCTTATAGACTTCTTTTTACATGTTTTACTTCTGTCAAAAACTGCTTGATCATCCATGCAAGCCTCCTGCCACCTTTGCTTCTTGCATGGAGAAATGTAGCATTATGGAGCTTGGAGGAAGTGATCTCTGAATATCAGCCAGCTCTCTTGAAACCCTTTCCAGGACTGTGTCCATGGGATCCTTCCAAGCAGAGCCCTGAACAGGCAAGAGTTCTGCTCTTCTGAAGACCAGGCTGAAATCCTACTTGCCATCTTTCATCTCATGTCCCTTCAGCCAAGGCTGCCCCGACCTTTGCATCCTCTACCAGTTCATACTTGTTTGCAGGTATGCTCTAGAGAACATTTCTCCCTCGCTGGCTACCCAATCAGTCAGGAAACTCTGGAGGTACTCCATAAACCTCTGTGATTTCTTGTGCACTGCTGCATTGCCTTTCCAGCAATAATTATCCTGGTGGCCAAAAATGCCAATGGTATCCTGGGGTGGATTACAAAGACTGTGGCCAACAAGTTGAGGGAGGTTCTTCTCCCTGTCTACTTTGCCCTGTTAAGACCACATCTGGAATGTTATGTTCATTTCTAGGCTCCTCAGTTCAAGAAAAATGGAGAGCATCTGGAGTCCAGTGGAGGGCAAGAAAGATGGTCAGTGGCCTGAAACATCTCCTGTATGAGGAAAGCTGACTAACGTGGGGGATGTTCACACAGGTTCACACAGTCTCTCAGGAGGCTGAGAGGGGATCTTATCAATGCTTGTAAGTATCTAATGGGTGGGAGTCAAGTGGTTAGGGCCAGGCTCTTTTTAGTGGTGCCCAGCAACAGAACAAAGGGCACTGGGCACAAACTGGAACAGAGTAAGTTTCATAAAAACATGAAGAGAAACTTCTTTACTATGAGGGCTACAGAGCACTAGAACAGGCTGCCCAGAACAGTGGTAGAATCTCCTTCTCTGGAGATATTCAAAATCTGCCTGGATCTGTCCCTGTGTAACCTACTGTAGGGAACCTTCTTGCCATTGCTGAAATCTGCTTTTCCCAAAGATCCACCAGCTTGGTGCTGGGCTCAGCTGTGCACTGTGGTGGAGCCATTGAAGCCAGCTGGAACTGACTGTGTCTGGCATAGGGCAGCCCCAGTCTCTGCCCACGGAAGCCCTGCAGCCCCCCGGCCAACATTGGTCCAGCAGGCACCCTATATACTCCCTCAGCTTGTGCTGCATATGGGGATTGTGCTGTGCTGTGAGATATTCCATTGACAGCTGCGCCAGTAGTACGGGTGACCATACTCTGTAGCACATTGCCACCATTGCTGAGCATCTGTATGTGGTTCCTTCGCCCTTTCGTGCGCACTGTTGCATTTGTTGGCCACACATTGCCAGCTATATGCTAGACCTAACAGTTATATAGGCCTCTCCCCAGTACTAGCTCAAAAGGCTGCTTGGCTGCCCTGATCAGGAAGCCAGATGTAAACAGATTACTCAGAGCACCCTTTGGACATGAAAAGCTGGCAGGGCTCATTAGAACCATACGGAGCTTGCTAGAAATCCACATCAAACACTCAATAAGAGCCATTTGCCTCACTGAGTCGTTATGTTACCAAGGACTGTGCTCCGTCCCGGTGCTGGAACTTGAATTACAGAATCACAGAATGGACAGGGTTGGAAGGGACCTCAAGGATCATGAATCTCCAAATCCCTGCCACAGGCAGGACCACCAACCTCCCCATTTAATACTAGAGCAGGCTGCTCAGGGCCCCATCCAGTCTGGCCTTGAACATCCCTAGAGATGGGGCATCCACAACCTCTCTGGGCAGCCTGTTCCAGCACCTCACCACTGTCTCTGTAAAGAATTTTCCCCCTGGTAGCTAACCTAAATCTTCCCTCTGTCAACTTAAAACCATTTCCCCTTGTCCTGCAGTTGTCAACCCTTTCAAAGAGTTGATCGCCCTCCTGTTTGTAGGCTCTCTTTGTTGCTTTGTCAAGATTATCAATGGAAATTTACTGGTAAGAACCAAGTTCTTAGAACCATACGATCGTTTGAATTGTAAGGGACCCTTAAATTTCATCTAGTCCAACTCCTCTGCACTGAATAGGGACACCGACAGCTCAATCAGGTTGTTCAGAGTCCCATCCTACCCAACCTTAAATGTCTTCAAGGATGAGGCATCCACCAAGTTAGCTCAAGACAATATAAAAATCTGGGATCTAGTTTCTCATTGCTCCTGGCTTTCTTCCATCTTGTCCTGTTCTGAACAACCATTCTGGGGCAAACTCTGTTCTTTCCATATTGCAGGTCTCAAGGTGTTTACATAGTATTAATCAATTCAGTCACCAGAGGGCAGAGGAAATGAAATGAGGATGTTCTGGACCATGAAATAGATAAGTCATGTCCTTGGAAATGGTTTAATTGAGCAAAACAGGTACACAGGTGTACCTGGCTCACCACAGATATTGGACAGAGCAAGATCAGACTCCAGAAGGAAAGATCAAGACATAAAAATATGTGCTGTGCTTATGTGCTTATCTGTGGAGAATAAGCCTTTATGTACAACTCACACAGAAGGCTCAAACAGAAGCCAGCTGGCACCGCTCTCCTTTATAATGCTTCCTACCCTTAGCACTGGATACACAGTGGGAAGCATATCCATGGGACCCAAAAGTGTTCCTGTGTCTCTACAGTATCTGCTTGAGTTAATTTTTCAAGAGGCAAAAGTGCCTACAAGTACTGGAAAAGCACACATGCCTTCATGGGACTGTCTGAAGGTGTTGGACCAGACCTTCCATGCTCTGGAAGCCTAGGGCTCAGCCACTTTGAACATCAGAGAACCAGACCTTTGTTGATATTATAAAAAATATTACAAAATACAGATACAATTAAAAGACTTGGCCAACTATTAAGAAAGTAGTTTCTGTTCATCTCTAATAATAGTCTGTTCTTTGAATAGTTCTGAATCTGCCCTCCGCAAATAGGTCCTAACATATGTTTACATGTTCATAGTCCCTTAATGCCCAGATGCATCTCAGATCC